AAGCCCCAGTAGATAGTTGTATGTCATAGCTGCACATCCTTCTAGATGCTGTATGTGGGACGCGGCCTCAGCATGGCCGGAGAAGCAGTGCGTCGGTGCGCGCCGGAGATCCGAACCCGGGCCGCCAGCAGCAGAGTGCACGCACCCAACCGCTAAGCCATGGGGCCGGCCCTCATAACTTTATTATAATGACAAATTATATTTTAAAGACACATGGCTCTTATGAGAAGAGTGGGTCAGTCAAGAATGTTCAAGAAAATCTGGGCCATAGGGCCCATGTCCTTGGAGGCCACATCCCGGTCTGACTGGCAGTCGATTCCTTCTCTCCAGACTATGAGCACTTTGGATTTCAGGATTGAACAGAGTAGGTGCTCAGTTAACATTTGTTCACATCCATACAGCCAGAGGCGCTGAGATCAGAGAGGTGAAGCCCTTCGTCCGCATCACAGAGCACCTCAGGTGGAGGCGGCCGGGCCCAGATTCTCCCAGCTCTTGGGCCAGCACTGTTTTGACTGACCTGCTATCTGCACATGGCTCTCTGCCTGCACTGAATAAAACCTTCCTCACCCTGTGGCCCAGAGTGGCCGAGAAAGAGCTTTTTCCTTCTGAACTGGAAAGCTTGGATTTTTTAGAGATGGGTCTTGTACCATTTAGTGTCTCCCCAACCTGCCGGCATGGCCTCTGGCACGTGGGGAGAGCATGGAAATGTCTGAACGAAGGGATAACCAGCCATTTCGATTGAGAGGCGGCTCAGAGCCAGAAATCAGGGCTCTGATTTCTGATTTCTATGATCAGAAATCCAAATTGAAAATTGGATTCTGCTTCTTGTTCTGCCTCAGGTTTGCTGTGTGACACTGGACAGGTCCCGTCCTGTCCCTAGGCCTTAGTTATCTCACCTGTTAATAATAACAGCAACAATAACAATAGATAACATGTAATGAGTGCTTCCTATGTGTCTGGCACTGCTCTAAGCAGTGGGTATAAGCCCATTTACTCCTGCCAGTCACCCCAGAGATAGGGATTATTAATCCCTCTGGTATACAGATGAGGAACAGAAGGCCAGAAGGGTTAAGTGTCTTGTTCAAGGTCACATAGCTAGTTAGAAGGGCAGCAGGATTTCAAACCTAGGCAGGCTGGCCCCAGAAACCACCTCATCACCATGTGATCCCCAGCACCCAGAGATTTATCTTTCCTTGCTCAGAACTGCAGTGATTCTATGAGATACAGAAAGTGGCAGCCGTTTCAATTCTAGGCCCTTGGCAAAATGTTTCTGGTTGAGTTCCTTTAGGCTTCGTTAAATAGAACCATGAAGATCTCTTCCTGGAAGGAAGGTGACTGTTGGGACAGGGTCACTAGGGGGGAATTTTTGCAGAGAGGGAGAAAAAAAGAGATGGCAAGGCCTGTCTCCCTGTCTCGCTGCCTCTCCACAGCCTTGTCAGTTCTACGGTGGCTGCCCAAAATCAAGTCCAGGCCACCTTTGGCCCTGACCTGGGCATCAATCTGGGAAGCCAGTGTCACCTGCTCTGAAGCATTCCAAGTGGTGGCCAAAGTCAGCCTGTAAAGACAGCAATGGGTCACATCACCCCCTGCTTACAGCCTTCCCATGGCTTCTCGAAGCCCTTGAAATAAAACCCAGGGTGACCCCTGCCCATCTCTCCGACCTCATCTCGCAACTCCTCCCCTTCGCTCAGCATCCTGTAGCTCTGTGCTGTCCCGACCAGCGGCCACCAGCCATATGGGGCTGTTGAGCGCTTGAAATGGGGCCAGTCTGAACTGAGAAGTGCTTGTCCATATAAAATACACTGGGTCTCGAAGACATGGTACAAAAAGAGAGGATATAAAATATCTCATTAATAATTTTTATATTGATTATATGTTGAAATGATAATATTTTAGATATATTGGGTTAAATAAAATATATTATTAAAGTGACTTTCACCTGTTTCTTTTTACTTTTTTATTGCAGCTACTAGAAAATTATAAATTCCATGCGTGGCTCCCATTCTGTTGCTACTGGACGGTGCTGCTCTAGCCGCCCTGGCTTGTGTCCGGTTCCTGGACCGCGCCCAGCTTTTCCCCGCCCCAGGCAGGCAGGGCCTTGGATCCCTCTCCCCACAGCTCTGCTCCCCACCACTTTCCAGTCGCCCCTGTAGCCGCACCACCAGCACCAAGAACCCTCCTGTTTGTTATCTTTCTTCCCTGGGTGGAGAGCCAGCTCCCAGCGATCTGCTCTTGGTTCGGCACCCGGCTCCAGGCTGGCGGGGAAGGACATGTGGTCAGTCAGAGGCCTGGGGGAGGGAAGGATGGGAACTGGTCCGTGTTCCTCAGCCTGGAGCTGCGGGAGGGGGTCTTCAGCCAGAGGGCTCCACCTGCTGCTGGCCGGGGTTTACTGAAGCAGGAGTGCCATCAGCGGCTCTGAGCAGAACACACTGGCCAGAAGGGGCTTTGGGCTTTTCGTGGTGTCCTGAGAACCTACTGTGTCGGTAGAACCAGGGGTGCGAAGCCCCCCAGGCTTCATCACAAGAACTCACTGGCAGCCTGGGACAGGTGCCAGGCCCTCGGGAAATGCCAGAGGAGCTGAAGTGGACGTGGGCTTGGCTGGTCATCCCAGGGTCCATCTTGGCCCTGCTGCTCACCGCATGGTGACCTTCGTAGGTCACTCAGCTCTGCTCCAAATGAAGATTAGTTCCCTTCCTAGGGCTGGTGAGGACCAGAGGGAGGGCCATGTGTACAATGTGAACAGGGCACAGCGTGGGGACACATAGGTGCTCAGGCCATCCCAACCAGCACCCCCTCCGCACTGTCAGCCACCTTGCAGGACACTGCCATGTTGGGGATGGAAACAACGCATGGCCTCAGTTCCTGAGCAAGGGGACCCCCGCTATAGGAGGACCCCCAAGTCATCGCCTTGTTCTTCTTCCATCCTGAGGACCCCGACTTTGGCGGGATCTGGAGGAGGAGGAGATACCACTATTTCTGTGAAAAAGGCCTGTGGGTTTTAATTGACCACAAGCTCAGAGTGAGCCAACGGGTGACCTGATTGCTAAAATAGCCCAGGAGGAGGGCAGAAGCTTCCAGAACGGGGAGGGGGCAGCTGGAATCTCTGCTAGAAGGAAGTGAGGACACTGTTCTTGGAGCTCACCCAACTCCAGAGAGCAGGGAGCCCCTTCTCTGGAAACCTCTGCATCCGTCCATACCCTGCTGGTGAGAACGGGGCGGGGCAGGAGGAGGTGCCGGCCAGAGGCAGGGCTGGATGGTTCCTGGAGCACAGTAACTCTGGAGGGCAATGCTGCCTTCTCACTCTCCATTCTTTTCCAAACACTGCTCTCGCATGAACCCAGACAGCTTTTCTAAGACAGGGGCCAGCGTTCCTGGGCCTGTCACCTCTCAAGTTAGAAGAAACCGTGGGTTGGAAGGGCCCAGGGAGACTAGGGGGGCCCGGCGCTCCATTCCCACATGGGGAAGCTGAGACCCTGCCTGAGGCCCACGGTGAGTGAGGAGGTGACAAAGGCCAGCTCTCCTCCAGCCCTCCCTCTGCACTCAGCAGCTCCCCCAAAACGCAGGGAACAAAGAAGAAGGCTTCTCTGACAGTAGATAATGAATGTTCTGATTCTCAGGCCTTGAGAGCATCATCTCCCAGTGTCCCCAGCCGGGAAATTTACAGCCTGCAACTGACTCTTCCAGAAGGCCCTGGGTGGGCCTGGGCTCCAAGTGGACAGTGTTCCCTTGCTGGTTTCTCCATGGGAAGAGACGGCTGGTGAATCCCACAAGCTCTGTGCTGGCTGCCCTCGGCCTCCAGTGGCCTGGACGGAGGTCCTGCAGCTCCCGCTGGGACTGGGCACCCCGTTGAGGACAGAGCCCAGCGGCCACCCGCTGGTGTGGAGGGTGGGGGAGGTGGAGGGGATGAGCTTGGGCAAGGGCAGCTCTCTGCTCTCCTTTTCTATTTTATGTCTAATTATAAAAGCAATTCATACTCATTGTAAAATTTGAAAACCACAGAAAGGTGGAAAGGAGAAAATGAAAATCATCTGTCATCCCGCTGCCCAGAGACAACTGCTGTTGCTATTTTGTTGTATTTCTCCCTGGTCCTATTTTTCTATAAGAATCATACATATGTATATAAGTGTGTATTTTAATTGTAATCATACTCAATAGCTGGCTTTTCCCCTCCACATTACATTATATTGTGAACACTTTCTCACATCATTAAAATTTTTTTAAAGTTATTTAATGGCTGTATAATATTCTATTAATAATTTATTTAGCTATTCTCCTGTTATGTTTTTTTGTTTTCATTCTCCTATTTTGACTCTTTTTTTTTGACCAAGGGAATTTGGCAGTTTTAAAAATTCCCCTTAAAAATGTAAATCTAGGGCCGGCCCCGTGGCGTAGTGGTTAAGTGCACATGCTCCGCTGCTGGCGGCCCGGGTTCGGATCCCGGGCGCGCACCGACGCACCACTTGTCAGGCCATGCTGTGGTGGTGTCCCATGTAAAGTGGAGGAAGATGGTCATGGATGTTAGCTCAGGGCCAGTCTTCCTGAGGAAAAAGAGGAGGATTGGCGTGGATGTTAGCTCAGGGCTGATCTTCCTCACAAAAAAAATATATACATATATATATAAATCCAGCTTTTTGGCTGCCAAGATGGAGCAGTTCTGGGGTATCCTGTCTGCCATTTATACCAAGAGGGGTCCCTCAGCTTAACATCTGGGATGACAGCAAAGGTTGAGCATTTGGAAAAACGAAAAAGCAAAAAATTAAACCCGCCACCCCTGGGGGACTTAGGAAGAGAGCCCCTCTTCATTAGTGCCTGCAGCTCGCGCTGTGTCCCTGCCCTCTGGTAGCACTGCATGGTCTGGCTGTGAGCTGGTGGACGGGTCGGGCAGCTCCCGGTTCCCATTTTGCCTGGACCACGAGCGGACAGTGAAGTCTGGGCAGGTCCTTGTACTGCTCCGTTTCCCCATTTCCTAGGCTGTAAAATGGGCCTTATGCTGAGTGGCTGGAGTCGGATGCCCTAGTGCTGCTCCTGAGCCGGTATTGCCATCAGTGGGGAGCAGAGGGACAAAGGTGTGGTGGGGCCAGGTGGCCTCCTGGCAAGTGGCCTCTGCTCTCTAAGAGCCATGGAGCCCCTCCCACTCGGAGATTCTCTGATGTGTCCTCAGCCCCAGGAGTCTGCGGCTGCCGCCAGAACGGCTGGCCCTTGTTGGCCCTCCAGCTGTCCAGATTGGACGACTCCACACCGCTCTGAACAGCTCTGGCCTCCCAGGGCCCTGTTAGTCCCCAAGGAAGGCACCAATCGGGTTTCCCCGCCCTTCCTGGAATCAGGCCCATGTATGACTCATGGAGAACCCCAAGGTCTGCTGCGTATCCCAACCCTTCCAGAGAAATTCCCCATTGTATTCTGGGCTCAGAGGTCATGCAGGCAGGGTTCCTGGAGGTTGGAGGCTGGACACCACTAGAATATATGCTTCAGGAGGGCGAGGCCTCATGCTTCTCACTTACTTGGTGCCCTCGGTGCCCAGCACCGGGCCTGGCCCGCGGTAGACCCTCAGTAAATACTAGCAGATCAAGGTAAGTGGTGGCGTCTGCCTGCCTCAGTTTCCCTTTCCATTCCGCCCTGCTAGGCTGTGGGCTCTGTGAGAGCAGAGATGAGCCTGGTTCACTTGAGTCTTCAATGCCCACCAAAGACGCTGGCACGTGGAGAGGGTCCACGAACGTGTAAACAAACGGAGAATGGATGGGTTGATGAATGTCATGTCCCAAAAGAGTTAGAACTGACGATGCAGGCCCTCCCTTCTCCCCACCTCCCCTCCACAGTGGGCCCCTTCCCTCCCTCTGAAGGGCTCTGGATGATCCTTTCCTCTGTCCCTCCTTTGTTGAAACTGGCCACCAGGAACCTCTGAGCCTTGCCAGGTGTGTGACTTTGGACAAGTCCCTCAACCTCTCTGAGCCTCCATTGCCTCTTCTGTAAAATGGAGCCATATGATACATTGAAGGGTTTTCTGAGACTTAGTGCCAGATTGCACAGTCGGTGCCTGGCAGGTGGTGGGCCCCCGGGAAGAAGCAGCCCTCTTGTTGGCAGGGGTCTGGCCCTCTGTCCATGGCATGAGCTCCCCGACGTGAGCTGGCTGACCAGTTGACTGACGAGGGGCATGGGATGATCTCGGGCTGGGACTACCCAAGGAGGCAGCAGAGGGTCACAGATCCCCTGAGACCCCAGCACTATGCCTTGGCTCTGTTGTTCGGTGTCCTTTCTCCTACTGGGAGGGCACATGCTGCTGCTGGGGAGCTCGGCCAGGAGGTGGGCCCGGCTCCTCTGGAGAGCTGCTCTCCTGTGTCCCCTGCAGGGGAAAAAGGAGCTGGCTGCACTGCCTCGGAGAGCTTCCACCCCAGGCGGCCCTGGCACAGGGCAGGGACAGCAGATGCGCAACAGAAGCCCCGTGCCCTCTCACCCTGTCATTCAACTCTCTGGGCCTCCAGAGTTTAAAATGGGGGGAATACAGTCAGACTGAAGATTTATAGGTCTGACGAGAGGAGCAAATGGGATGGTGTATATGACAGCACTTTGGCCATTGTCACGCACACTCCTAAGGTCCTAGCACAGTAACTCCATTAATATTACTAGGAGCCTCCCACAGAGTGGGGAAGCATGTCCACAGCCCCTCAAAGCTGGGAGAGGCCGCCTGGCCCCCCCACATAGTTGCTGTAGGACGTAGACAAGTGACTTCTCTCTCTTAGCTTCAGTGTCCCCATCTGCAAAACGAGGGCGCCTCCCTCTCGGGTTCTTGGGAGGAGTCTGGCCACGTCCAGCCTCAGAGATAATGACTGCTCCAGGCACCTCCACTGCCGAGTGCCTGCCCAGTCACTTAGGATCCCCAGACCTCAGTTTGCCCATCTGTAATATGAAGATGATTGTCCCACCCAGTGCCTCAGGTTATTTGGAGAACTCAATAAAACGAACCACGTAACCCACCTCTCGTGAGTGCCCCCCACGTAGAAAGTGCTCACTTAGCTATTATTACAGGTTTTCTTGCTGGTAGTAGCTCACCAGGCCAGAACTGCATGCCCAGTGTCTTTGGAGCACGGGGCGTGTGGGACAGCTGTGCAGCCACCGCCATCAGCAACCTGAAGGGGCCCAGTTGCCAGGAAGCCGCCGTGGGGGCTGGGCCTTGGGGTCTTGGCCAGGCCCTGGGGGGCCAAGCAGGCGATGAACCTTGGTCTTCTCCTGATCGTGCCCCTGCCCCAACTCCCAGCTGCCCAGCGTCATCACCATCTACCTTCCTGCTCACACAATGTCAGAGCTCCAAGGGAACGCCCGAAATGCAGCGAATACCTTTATTGTTTTTCTGGCTGTAAAGGCAATTCTTGTTCATTGCAGAAAAAAATGTAAAAACTCAGAAAAATGTGAATTAAGAGCACCCCCAAATCCCAAACTTCCAGGGTTTTTTTTTTTTTTTTTTCGTGAGGAAGATCAGCCCTGGGCTAACATCCATGCCCATCTTCCTCCGCTTTATATGGGACACCTGCCACAGCATGGCCTGACAAGCAGTGCATCGGTGTGCGCCCGGGATCCGAACCCGGGCCGCCAACAGAGGAGCGTGTACACTTAACTGCTACGCCAGGGGGCCGGCCCCTCCAGGTATTTTTATGAGTATGCGCATAAAGATATAGATTGTTTGACAAGAATGGAATCCTGTGATACTTGTTTTTAAAAAATCAGAATGTGGGACTGGCCCCGGGGTGTAGCGGTTAAGTTCCAGTGCTCTGCTTCAGCGGCCCGGGGTTCGCCGGTTCAGATCCTGGGCACGGAACTGCTCACCACTCATCAAGCCATGCTGAGGTGGCGTCCCACATAGAAGAGCTACAACTCTACAATTATGATACACAACTATGTATTGGGGCTTTGGGAAGAAAAAAGAAAAAAAGAGGAAGATTGGCAACAGGTGTTAGCACAGGGCCAATCTTCCTCAAAAAAAAATCAGAATGAACAGACTTTATTTTTTAAAACTTTTTTATTATAAAATATGACACGTACAGAATGACCATATAAAATAATCGTTCAACTTGACAAATTGTTATAAAGCAAACACCCTGGGAACCGCCAACCAGGTAAAGACTCTGCCAGCCACCCCCAAAGCCCTCAGTGTGCCCCGTCTTGATCACACTGCCTGCCTCCCCCCAAAAAGTTACCATTATCCTGACTTTTAAGATAATCACTTTTTTGCTTATCACCCAAGTGTGCATCCCTAGATGCTATAATTTTGTCTTTAAAAAACAATCTGTCTTTTAAGTCCCTTTGATCTACAGGTTTCTTTCTTTTTTTTTTCTGTGAGGAAGACCGGCTCTGAGCTCACATCTATTGCCAATCCTCCTCCTTCTTTTTTTCCTCCCCAAAGCCCCAGTAGATAGTTGTATGTCATAGCTGCACATCCTGCTAGTTGCTGTATGTGGGACACGGCCTCAGCATGGCCGGAGAAGCGGTGCATCAGTGCGCGCCCGGGATCCGAACCGGGGCCGCCAGTAGTGGAGCGTGCGCACTTAACCACTAAGCCATGGGGCCGGCCCTACAGGTTTATTTCTTTAACTTTGTTTTTTATTTGGCAGTACATCCTGGACCTTGTCCATGTTAGTAAATGTGACTCTCATTTTTAATCTTTCTTTTTTTCTTTTTTCTTTTTTTTTTTTTTGTGAGGAGGACTAGCCCTGAGCTAACATCTGATGCCAATCTCCCCTTTTTTTCTTGAGGAAGATTGGCCCTGAACTAACATCCGTGCCCATCTTGCTCTACTTTATATGGGATACTGCCACAGCATGGCTCAACAAGCAGTGCGTCAGTGCGCACCCAGGGTCCGAACCCGGTAACCCTGGGCCTACGAAGCAGAACGAGTGCACTTAACTGCTTGCGCCACCAGGCCGGCCGTTTAATCTTTCCTAATGACTCCATTGTTCCATCCCAGGGATGAAGATAACTGACCTGTTCCCCTACTGATGAACGCTTAGGTTATTTTCACACTTTTGCTGTTATAAACAATACTGTGATGGAAATCTTTATACATATGTCCTGTGCACTTGAGTGATTCCTGGAAGAAATTTCTAGAAGTGGATCATGGGTCCCAAGGTCAGGCTCTTTTTTTTTAAATAACAGCTTTATTGAGATATGATTCACATGCCATAATTCATCCATTTAAAGTGTATGATTCAATGGTTTTACTATATTCAGAGTTGTGCAACCATCACCACAATCAATTTTAGAACATTTTCATCATCTCATAAAGAACCCCATACTCATTTCTCTCCAATCCTCTTCCCCAGCCCTAGGCAACCACTGCTATAAAAGACAATCTGCTTTCTGTCTCTATAGATTTGCCTGTTCTGGACATTTCATATAAATGAAATCA